AATGGTTATTTTTTAAGTGTTTTTGTTTAAAAATATATTCAAATAATATTTTTTTTATTTTTTAAAATTTATTTTTAACATGTACAAATCAAAATTATCCAAAATTATAAAAAATAATTTTAAACAATCAAATAATTTCAAATAATTTTTTAAACACAAAAACAAACACTCCACTGTCCCCTGTTTGCTCCTTGCCAACTACGCATTAATGCTCAAATAGTTTGATATTTCTTGACTTATTGGGCACAAGGGCCACTCCACTTGGAATACATGTTTGCTTTGTGATTTTGGGAAGGATAATTTGCAGCTAATTATGGAGTTTAAAGTCCTTGTAGGGACCATGGCATTTTCTAATCTTGAGCATTATTTTTTTTTTTTTCATTTGGATCAGGTCCTGAGGTTTGAGAAGCTTTTGGGACACGGCTCAAACGCTAGTAGATAAAAATTTAAATGTTTTATATATTTTTATATTGTGTTGATGTGTTATTAAAAATAAATTTTAAAAAATAAAATTATTTTAATATATTTTTAAATAAAAAATACTTTAAAAAAATAATCATTACTTACTATTACATCATTAATTATCATTTTTTTTATCAGCAAGTAATATTCCAAATTGAGGGGGTGGAAGTCATCATAATATTATACTATATAGGTAACAATAACAAGTCTAAACCAAAAGAAATTATGGAAGACTACCTTACTAGTAATTACACTAATTGTATAATGATTCATCAAGCTAGCCTGGGAATCAACCATGTTAAGTATATGCGCCTCAAGTTATTTGTAATTATTACAGAATTTGGAGTAGCGTGCCAACACCCTGTGGTCCTCTGTGACTGTGAGACTTGACAAGCAAACAAGACCTTGTGAAAGCTTTAGTGGCATAGTTGAAGCCATAAAAACCTTCTGTCATTGGAAGGGCATCAATCACAGCCGTAACAGTACCGAGATACACAATTATAGAGAAACCACGATTCTTGGCTGCACATACACATGGCTGAAAACTTTTTGAAAAGAGGAATATGTATGTGTAACCAAGCATCGCAGAAAATGATGCTGCCTCGCCTATCTGAGCTTTCTTGATAGCCACGAGGGATCTCCTCTCATCTTTTTTTAATACAAACAATGAATGTGTTAGGGAATGACCATCACATGTGATAATATTATAGATTTAATCTCCTTGATTAATCAAATCTCTATCAGCAACATAATTATTATGGCCCGTCTTTGTGTGGCCTTTGTTAAGTTAATCTGCTTGATTTGTCCAGATGGATAGCATGTGAAAATCAAAGTCCAAGAAACGGGATAGCCGAAGAGTTTGAGATTTGCTTGCTGTGTTCACGCCTTGGATCCATATGTTAAATCAAGAATAATTTGCTGTCAGGGACTTTGCCAGTTGGGTTTTTGATAATTTAAGCTCAAGGGGAGCAAATATATCTTTCGCTTCACCCTAAAGTTGGGTTACTTTGATTATCCATTGAAAATTCCCCACTTATTCGTAGTGGCATTTTATATTACAAGAGGGAACAACTTTTTAAGCTTGGAAATTGATTTCTCTCTTGCATTATTATCAAGATCCTCGTTGCCAGAGAAGTCTCTCCCTCCATTTTCCTCTTCTTTTATTGATGGCCTAACAATTTAGTGTATGATGAACCAAAAATCAATTAATAAGGATCATGATTAAGATCAAGTGGCTGAGGGCGGTGACCATGATAATGGGGTTGACAAAAATACAAATTAAGGGTCCTTGAAAAGGTGATGTTGAGATGAGTACAGCCATTGAAATTGAAAGCGATGACAGCCTTATTTCAAGGGAAGATGATCAGGAAAGAAAGATAGATATCCACCAAGAAAGGTCGTTGTGGGTTGAGAAGGGTGTATGGGAGAATAAAGGCAATAAAAGCAACACCCATTAAAGAAACCTACAAAATTTAATGGTTCAAAAAAGAGCTTTGAGGGAAATTTCAGAAAGCTGGAATTTCTTTGTCATAATGGTGTGTTCCTTTAGAAAAGTCGCCTATTGAGGATTCGTTTTATGAAGGCACCAGCAAAACCAACATGACTTTGATTCAAAGATAAATAATTGTGCAGGGGATTGCTCGGTTGCTCCATAATTATTTCAGCAAAATTCAAATCAGGCCATAGCTGGGGCCATTTTTTCTTGCCTTTGGTGGGTTCCCCTGTAATGTTTTCAAATCAGAACAAGAGGTTGAACCATCAGATTCTCTTAAGAACAGGACTGCGCAAATTCAATTCACAGTTGGAGCATCCAAACAAACTGTAAATCATGACTGGCCAGAGCCCAGAGGTCGATATTTTTCGGTGAAAGATTGGGCATATGACATCGTTCGAAAACCAATATTCCAAATTGGGATTTTCATAAAAGTTAAAAGGTAAAGAATATGAGAGATCATGCGAGATATTATACATGCACGGCTGCTATGAAAATATATTGCTCCTCTCGACGAAGAAAATATAACAAAAAACTAAAAACCAAGGCAAATTTACTTTACATTTACACTTAATTTACTATTCATTGCTATACTATAATTACCTGTAAACCCTTCAAAAAAATCAATGGTCTCGGTGCCGGGTGATTTGGTCTTTTTCAATGATCCATTATTTATAATTGACCGGAAACAAATTAGATTTTTTGATTTTTTAGTATAATAAAATTACTAAAATATCTTTAAAAATAATAAATAATAAAGTATAGGTTATTTTTTGTCTTTACATTTTAGTTATATCAATTAAATGATATAAATAACTTTAAAAATCAAAAGGTGATAAATTATTATGCATGGAATATTTTATCTTTCCACATAAAATTTATTATTATATCCATGCTTGCTTATGACAGTTTTATTATACAAGTATGTGCATAGTTAGTGTCACAATATCAAGTGCTTTATCATTTTCAGATGATGCATGCAGTGGTTTTTAACAATAAATAATAGTTTTTTTTTTGTGGTTGGATTCGTTTCAGTGTTCTCTCCCTTTCATGGCAGCAGATGTGGCATTATGACCATCGGTTTGGTGCTAATAATTTTTATTTTTTTTTCTCTACTTATCTTGATTACCGTGCATGGTGGTACATAATTTCAAATCAACCCTTCAATTTATTTATTTTATATTAGATCCCTCCTCTTTTGATCACTATTTTTTTATTTGAAATTATTTGTAAAATTAGAATTATTTTTTGATTTCATCCTCTCTTAATTTTTTCATCTCTAATTTAGTTCTTATTTTTTGAATTGATATTTATTTTGTTTTTAATCCTTTTCTTAGTTGAATTTGCCTTTGAATTTCTTTCATTATTTTATTTCATTTTATTTTTATCTTAAATTTAGTCATTATTTTTTTATTGCAATTTGTTTTACTTAGACAAGTTTTTTTATATTTTATTCTTTAACATTGAATTGAAATTATTTTTTTTAATTTTATCATTCGATATTTATTTGATAGAGAATTGGGCTTCATTGTTTTTCCAAATAGGGTGTTTATGGTCCAATGTCTCAAATCATGAGTTTAAAAAATTAACACAAGTTAATATTGTTTTTTTTCTTATTTTATTTTATGGTTTCATTATTTGAGATTGGTTTTTTAAAAAATATGGTATTTTTTTATTTTTTTTCTTGTTAGATTATCTTGATTTCACAACCTGAGTCACAGGTTTGGTATGTTCACTCAGGATTGTTCAACCCTTATTACTAGGATTACAGGTTTATCATGTTAATTTAGGTTAACTTAAATTTTTTCTTCTTCTTTTTTTATACCCAATTTCATCATTTCATGTTTTATTATTTAATAATTTAGTTGCATTGTTTTTACCCTTTTAGAAAAGGAATTCTTTTCTCATATTATCATAATTGTTTTTATTATTTGGTTCATTTGTTGTTATTGTCTTTTTTTATTATCTAATTAAAATAAAATTATTTTTAATTTAAATGATGAATATTTTTTTTACCTTTAAAATACACTTTCATGACCATAGTTTTATTGAGTTCAGGGTTCTTGTAGTATCATTTTTTTCTTAATAAAATCCCTTCTTTTAAAAACTTTTTTATCCGAACTTTTTCGTCCTTCTGTAACTAATTGTATTATTTGACTAACTTTGAAATATTCTTAAAAGGATAATAAATAAATAAAGAATTAAAAAATAAGTCACAAATACAAAACTAGCTCTTGCCAATTTTTTCTTTCCTTGATTTTATAATTACTTATTTATTAATTATAAAAAAATAATTAATTATAAATGAGAGGAAAATGATTAATTATATATATAAGAAAATCTGGATTTCTCAGCTTTTTGGTTATTTATTAATTATATATAAATTAACTAATTACATTATTAATATCTTTTTAATTTATAAAATGATGAACTACACACGAGGAAAAAAGTCACTGGTATAGAACTTAATTTTTTTTATTTTAATTTTTTAATATTATTTATTACTTTTTAGGAGTTTTTTTCAAATATAAAAGAGCGTGTTCTAAAAATATTCAAAGTTAACAGTTGAAAAACACTATGAATGACGAAAGCACTAACAGTGTTAACGGACCTTATTGCACATATACCCCAAATTCATTAACCCGGCTATTGACCCAGTTTCTTAGCCCAACGAGGCTGCCCCAGGCAAGCTTCCCTTCCTTCAATCATCGTGTCTCTTGTGAAATGTCATGTCTATTTTTATTTTTATTTTTATTTTTTTCGTTTTATGTTTACTTTGTGCCTGCTGAAGGTCAGGCTTAAGAAAAGTCAGCACAGAGTGTTGACCAGCTAATAACACCGTCGCATCCTTCAGTGCTGGTCAAAATAGGAGGCACAGCCTACCTACAAAACAGCTTTCCCTTCCGGCAAAGAAATGGCCCAGTGCTCGATTGAAATTTCTAGCATATTAGGCGATCACAGGACGAACGAATTGAAACAGCTCAGCATTAACACTATACTTTTACCCATAAAAGCAAATCGCAATCAACCTTCACGGAAGACCTGGTGCAAAAGAAAATACATGACACGTGGATCTTACTAATTTCCATATCAACGACGACATATTTTACACAAGGACATCCAAGAATGGGCGAAACTAAAAGAGAGAAGTTCAGGCCACCAGACTAGATCGGTATTAAAGCATAGCTTTGCTACCTTCTATCTTCTAGACTAACCTAATCCCTATCCTCTATTAATAGACCGAACCACATCACAAATCTTCTATCTTTTCTAGGGAAGAGAAGTGTGCATCTATACTTGTCAGAGCTTGCAGGTCAATTTCCACTGTTCTAATTAATTTTTGGGAAAAATAATCCAATTCTTTTTGGGGTGGTGCCCCGTCATTTTTGGCAATTTGCTCCTTCGATACCTCAACATCTTTGGTTTCTGTTCTAGACCCAGTGTGCTGACTAGAAAGCTGGGCCTTTATTTCCATGCAAGAATTTAGATCTTCTTCGTTGCGGGCCTTGTTTAGCTTGTCAATAAGATCACTTAAAGCTGAAGCCCTCTCAGCCCTCAAACCTTTTGCCTTCTCCGGCCTTTTATCAAGTTCATTTTGGTTATTAACACTGCCATTATTCAACTCGAGTTTCTGAAGCTTCTTCAATCCTCCATCAACGAGTTGATGTAGCCTCTTACGGACATTCTCGCTCCTCCTACGATTCGACCGAAGCTTCAATTTCTGCTCCGAAACCATCTTTTCCTCTGTGTCATCCTCTGCAGATGCATGGTCGTGGTTTGAAGAGTGTGATCCATCCTCAGTGGAGCCTTCTGGGAAAGATTTCAAAGAAAATACCTCTTCCAGTAGGCTAATATTATGCATGTACCGATCAAAAGCTTCATTTTCCACTTCAATATTTCTATCCTTGAATTCCTTCAATTTGGAAAACCTCCATTCATTTATAGCCGCGGCTTCCTGAAACAGATCCTTCAGATCAGGAAAAACCTTATTGCGCCAAAATATAACAGAGTCAGCAATGGTATATATCAGCTTATTATAACACACCTTTCTGGTCAATGATTTCCTTGAACGGAGTGGGGAATGTAAATTGTTGAATTGGGAAAAATTGCTAGAAAGTTGCCTAAGTGATGCGGTTCTATGAGAACTCCTGAAACACATCCCAAGAAGGTAGGTAATGCAGGGTATAGACAACCAGGTCGAAGAAGTTGAATAAAATCCAAAAGATAAAAATAGTATAGCATTTAGCAAACCAGAACGAGTACCTTTAGAACAGCAAAGCATATTTTAGAAGAAACAAACAAGGAGTTCAATGGAAAGAACAGAGAATTAAAGAATTCACGATTTTACAAAAAGAAAATTGAATGTAATAAAATGCATCATATTCTTGTTTTGAGCCGTATGGCAATTTTTACAACCTAACCTCGGATAAGAAGTCAATAATGAAGTGAAAGTATCATCTACTGAAGTAACAGATTTCAACCACTGCGTAAGGTCGTTTCTTGCTTGATATTTTAGTAATTTGTCAAGCATCCATGTCACAACACATGACATAAGAATGAATATGGATGCGTACAACAGGTTTGCTTCCAGACAGTAATTTAACTTACACTGCAGGAGGTGCTTCATTCGGCTGCTGCTCAAAGAGAGGAGCACTTGAAGCTGGAGTCTTGTCTGGAAATGTTGCATTTGCTTTAAGAACTGCATTTACAAAATGAGGATGTAAACAGACCAAAAATATAATGGCACGCAGACAATTTACTTGTTCTTTACAAATGGATAACAAACTGGTATGTCAATTTACAATGCATCACCCTTGAAGGTGAGACTTCAAAGACAATTGCAATATTGAAAGCGTTATGTAACATTTTCTTCCCGTCACCAAAATCATGTAGCAACTGAATTTCCACACTTCGTTCTTACAATTTGTGTGACAATGCATCAAGTTTTGGCATCTAGTCTTTATACTGTTCCACATATGCAGACACCCACAAGCATATATGAGAACTTGGGGGTTGGGACTTTAAACACGTCTCCACATGCAAGATGACTTTGCATAAGTAGTTCAGACATAAATCTAAAGTGAGCTACACAAGTCCTTAAATCAGCCGTGGCAGCCGACTGACATGGTGAGATGCATAATTTTATAGGCATGATAACAGCTTGCACATTTTAGTTATTCCTATGTCTTGGGCATATTTATTTCAACTTTAGGCTAGTCCATTTGGTGCTTATCTGTTAGTTTCCTACTCAGGAATAGTTGAGCATGCTTAAATGAAGATAGCTTCAACTCACATGATTTCTGTACGGTTCTATATGTCTTAGGTATGTTTTCATCAACTTTAGGTGTTCAATTATTAGGTTTGAACCAAGCAATCATAATCCAATCTGAACAATGAAAATGACATAAGTTTTCATGTGCTCTTAAAGATACAAGACTTTGATTGGAGGAAATTCAACCTTCTTTACTTTACGTAGATATGTGCGCCCAGCGTTCAACCCCTCTCTCCTTTTTCCTCCTAGTTATAAACGATCCTCTTTAATTCTCTGCGGCTTTTATCTAGTTACTTCCAACATAGGAAGCAGGAGGTGCAACAAAATATGACATGATGATAAGTCATTTAAGGTGTAACATGTTGAGGTGCTCATCTCTACAAACATCTAGATAAGGCTTCCAGTAACAAAAACCAAAACTTGAGCAAGAGAAAAAAAATCCTTTTTACACAGCATCTCTCCAAAACCTTTCCTGACCAGGACCTATCAGCAAAACATCAATTGCAGATTTTCCTTACCCTTCAAAGCTAACTTGTCATGCATTCAAGTCCCTTTATTAAATTACAAACCTAAAAGTCATCACGTTACAGGTCTACTAAGGAAAATCAGGTGCTCAGACTGTTGCCGGTCTTCTACAAGACCTCCTTTTTTATGATCCTTTGTATTTCAAGTCAAGTTTCTCTTGATGATATCAATGAAAAAAAAATAAGAATGAGAAACTAATATGCTAATTTTGGGAAATTCTCATACAGGTTTCAGTGCGCACCCAGCTAAACCATAGGCAGGCTCCTTATTTCATCGTCCATGAAGAGTATCCAGTTTCATAGAGCAACATCCTGTATTCAGCCCACAGTTCCTCTTTTACAATATCCATTTTTCACTTCACAACCAGCCTTGTTCCTCTATTTTCTAAACCTCGGTGTACAAATTCTTAAAGTTCTTTTGGTATTTTCATGATCACATAGCACCAAAGAAATCAAACTCCATCCAGACTTTCCAGCAACTTGATTTCTCAAGTATCATCTACCTTTCACCTTTAAATCTTAAGCTTACTCAAGTTCTCTACAAGCCCAAACCTTTCATGAAATCATATGAATTCAAAAGAGTAGATTAGTACATAGCTGACCTTAAGGAATCTTAAGATGTCCTTTTTGTCAGTGAGATAAAAGTACACTGATCAATATTCAATGTACCAAAGAGGGGCACTACTTCTCGTAAAAAAAAAAAATAATAACATGTGGGGTATTATCAAGCTGCTTACAACTTATCTACCAGCTTGCAAACCAAGAAAAGAGTAAATTCCAACACCTTAGAACTATCAAGGAAGAGCTGTCACCTAATAATGGAGGTAGCATCAACTCCGTAAAATCCTCTGTTTGCTCCTTCCTCTGTCCGAATCAATCAAAATAGAACATGAGGAAGCAAATCCCATATATTCTTTTCCATGGTCACAAGTCAAAACCTTTCGTTGCCAGATTTCAAGGAATAATATTGAACATGGAAGCACACAACATATTCTAAGACAAGTAGCGATCATAATCCAAAACCCCACTGCCACATGACAGTAAATAAGCAAATGGCTAAGATTTTCCTCCTTTCTTGCACACAACACACCACCTTCAACTGAAATCAACTAAAGTTTCCAGTTGAAAATTAATTGTTCATGTATCTTCCTCTGAGACTCAATTCGTCAGGGGCTAAACTTACAGTAAGATATGTGACACCAGATCATTTAATCACTTCAGCCAAACAAAGCTGAATAGCCAAAGATAAAAACCTTTTCTTCAGATATCTAGCATCAAATTCAAGTTTAAGAAAGCACACAAAGTAAAAATGGCCATCAATTCACCTACATATAAATTTATCAATGCTCAAATCCGAGAAGAAATTCTCCTTGTATCAAGCATTTATCAGAGAATAGATTTCTCACAAAAAAAAAAAAAACAATAAGTATGCATTGCAATCCCAGTTAGGACCATGTACCATATATGATCATTTAGTCGTTAGAGAAACAACCTCCTCAGATGATATGAAATAAGTAATGGTGGAATGATTCTATTCCCCTAACAGGCCAAAAAGAAGATAAGGTTGGATGGCTTGACACTGTAGTTTCTCTCTAAATATTCCTTCCAAGATACGTGAAAAAAAGCATGCGAAGATAAGATAATAATGAAAAGAAAATCATTGGATTTACAGTAGTTTTTGAATGAGAAATCCTTCTAAGAAGTTTTTTCTTTCCATAATAAGACAGAATATCAAATTTGATGCTGGGGCAATAACATGCAACAAAGAGAATAGTTTGGCATAATTTGCACAAGAATATAGGGGTACCATGAATATGGCATGGATTTTGTGCTCTTGAGCAGCAACTTTTGCACGACTGATAAGGGCACCTGGATAGATAGTTCCATTAATGAAAGGTTCAAAAAGTGGAAAAGATGTAAATTTTTTTAAGATACATTCACAATAATAAAATGTAAATGATAGACAGACAAATATATACTTCTCTAACACACATGCATGCTGGAGTAGCATCTTCAACAATCACAAACCTACCCACTAAGCATGCAGAATTTTAGATATCAGCACTATCAGTAACAATAGCATTTGCTAGGTGGGCTCCCTATACAAACCAATTTATTAAACACTAAAAATCAGCCGTTCAACACGCCACTGGAAGTGTCTACAGACCAAATTGAGTTGGTCAGTTTCCAATAGACGTGGAAAGCGAGTTAAACACACCCCTCTTAAATAGAAATCCAAGCGGACAAACCTTGTATAACCTAATAGTCAATACCTAACTGCCCAAAAAAAGAAGAGAAAAAGGGTAGGACTATATCCAAATACTGTGTCGAAAACCCCAATTTTACTGACTCACAGCTACATAACTACATTTTTAGCCTTTAACTTTATTTACTACACCTATGAAAATTTCCTCGAAGTTAAAGATCACAAGCTCGAGACTAGGTGTAAAATCTCACTCGAGATAGCCAAAATCCTCAGACAGATTATCATTCACTCAATGCATTTTAAAGAGGACACCGAAAGTAAATCACCACTTGTTTATCTCCCCTGGTAAATTAACTCCTCTGTTGACCGGTATTGACCTATACAATACTGCTAGGGCTAGGCACCTATCATTCACATTTGTTGAAGTAACTATCTTCATAATAAATTCACACAATCACACCTCTTAAATTCAATTCCACTATTCTAGCTGAGTAATTCGAAATTGAAACAAACAATACCTAACTGCGAAAACGAAAACGATACCGTGTACAATTATAAAGTACTAAGTGTACATATATGTACCTTGAGCGAGCAACGTTACCGCACTGAATACACTTAGGTTTGTTGAGGCCGCGGAGAGTCTTCGGTGGCACGCTGAAAGACGCTGCGGCGGCGGCGGAGATGGCGGTTTGGCCGATGTCGGAGCTGTTATTGCTAATGAGTGGAGAAGAGGCTGCCATTTAAGTGTGAGCTGTCGCAATTTTACGGCTAATTTTGCTTGGGTTCCAGAGGGGGGAAGAGAACGATTTGACTTTTAACGTTTTCTGTCTTTTGTTTTCCGGGGAGAAATTATAATTTAGAAGCATAAATTGAGGGTGATATTAGGAGAATATATAATGGGTTGGATATGGGCCTTTTGCGCATAAATTAGGCAAGATGAACCCAAGAACTCGTAGATTTCTAGATTCATCTATTGATGGGCCTGCAATCTGGGTGGGAGTTTAATGGGTCCAGTCATGACTAGAGAGAGAAAACCTAAAGTTTTAGAAGGCAGTTAAAATAATATTTTTAAATATTGATGAAAAGAGAGAATATTAAATTTTAATTTGGCGTATATTTTGAGACAAAAAAGGAGATATCCAAAGGGCAAACATCAAATATACCAGCAAATTATAGAGGCATTATTAATTTTACACTCAAGCTATTATTTGTTTAAATTTTACCATCAAACTTTCGAAAAATTTCGATTAAGATTTCTCGTTATAATAACTAAGAAAATGTTAAATTCTTGACGAAACGACATTTGTTTTACAAAAACAAATGCAACATAGACGGAAACATGGACAAGAAGCTTTGAAAATGGATGAAAATCCTTGGTTGAGAATTTTTAAAAGCTTGAGGTTAATACACAGAATTATTTTCTTTTGCGGTAACTTTAAAACTCCCTTTATTTTAACATTTATTTGGATATTTTAACAAGAAAGTTTAAAATTAATGCATGTTTCATAACTAATTTTTTTATCCTCTTACTTTGCATGTTTATTTTCTGCTTCAAAATATTATTTTAAGATTTTGAATTATTTTAATGCATCATAAATAAGTTTTGTTAAAAAATTTATTATTTTAATATATCTTAAAATAAAATATATTTTTAAAAATAATTACTATTATAATATTAAATACGGTTATAATTCTTAATAGTTTCTTGAACTTTTTACACATTGTTAAAAATAATAATTACTATTATAATATTAGACACGATTATAATTCTTAATAATTTCCTGAACTTTTTACGCATCATTAAAAAATTATTTATTTAAGAGATGGCGATTGCGTTTTGCTTAAAATGTAGGAGCCAAACATTTAATAAAGAAAAAAATAATATTTACTATTCATAAATCCCCTGCTTTCACATGCTTCCTAGTAAATAATTGAGCTCTCATTATTTTTTGTGGACTCTACCCATCGTAAAAAATTAAAATCCATGGGATGCAAATATATGCCAATGCCAAACTATCACTAGCTTTTTTCTTATAAATGATAATTGAGCCATGTTTGGATTATAATTAAATTATCATTATTTTGTTATTTTTTAAAATAAAAATTAAATTATTTTTTTATATATTAATATCAAAAATAATCTTTATAAAATAAAAAAAATATTATTTTAAAACATAACTATCAACTTGTCCTACCCGGTATAATAAAATAAAAAATTTTATTTTTTATTTTTAATTGTATTTATTTAAAGAATTAGCTTTTAATATTATTCTAATGATAAATTAAATGGACATTGCAATTCTAATTTTATTCATGATGATATTTTACTTGATATTATTACGCGTTTAAAAACTAAGAAAACTATAGTTATTGTTGGATATATTTCATACGTGATGAAATTGCATATAGTTTAATAGAGTAATAAAAAATATTTAATATAAAATATTATTTATTTCATGATGTAATAGAAGTAGTTAAATTTAAAATATTTAAATTAAAAATTATCAATAATAATATATATTTTTTAAAATTATCTTATAACCTCAATTTAAAAAGTATTCTTAGAGTTCGTTTGTTTAAGGGGTTGTGTCTACATTTGAAGCAAAACGCAAACACAACATGTTTAGTCCCCCAAAACACTATTTATTGTGTATGGGACCCATATATATTTACACAAAAATATAGGTTTGTGGAAAGCATCTGAACGCTACTTTTTACAAACCTATGGATAACATTTAGTGGAGAGTGAATTGTTTGCGTCTGCGTTTGAAGCCAGACGCAGACACAACCTGTTTGCTTCCCCTATAACACAATGTACTGTGTATGGAGAACCTATATATATTTACACAAAAACATAGGTTTATGGAAAGTAGCTTAGCACTGTTTTCTGCAAACAACATTTAATAGAGAGTCAATTAATTTACTTTCCACTGAATACCTATACAGTGAAATTACTCAATTGTTCATGTGAATAGTTGTGCATGATTCCGGCCAAACTAGGTCTGGTAAAAAATTAAATGCATTGAACCGGGTCCTAGCTAGTAAAAAAATTAATTATTTTTATTTTTAATTGTATTTTATTGATGATGTAGCATTTTCATAATTTGATCATAATTTCAATTGTTTCTTATTATATTTTATCTGATGTTGTTGTGTGCTTAAGAAACTAAGGAAATCGTAGTCCTTGTCGGATGTGTTTTATATGTGATGGAATTGTAGATAGTTTAATTGAATAATAAAAAATATCTAATATAAAGTATTATTTATTTCATAATGTAATAGCAATTGTTAAATCTATAATATTTAAATTCAAAACCATCAATACACACATTATAACCTCAATTTGAAAAATAATTTTTTAACCAGACATATTAAATTACTTTTTGTTTAACCTCAAATTCAACTATAATTTTAACTAAACATATATAAAGTGTGTTTGGTTATGTGGTTGCTTCAACGGCTAAAGCAACCACAACAACTCAACCGTTTGGTAATGCTCCAACAACATGTTTATATTGGTGGGACCTCCTATTAATCATGACATGGCCGCAAGTTTGCAAGAAGCAACAATTTGCTATTTTTTGAGCTGGAAAACCCATGACTGTTTATCGGTTTTCTTCCATGAATAGTTGGAGCCGGACCAGTCCAATTCAACGCTAAAAATGCATTGAACCGGGTTCGATGTAACAAAATAAAAAATATTTTTTATTTTTAATTGTGTTTTATTTAAAAAACTAGTGTTAAATATTATTTAATGATACTATATAAATTAGACGGATATCATTTGATGATGTAATATTTGCAGAATTTGATCGCAATCCCAATTTTATTCCTGATTGTATTTTTACCTATGTTTCTGCGCTCTTAAAAAATTTAATGAAACAATAAAAAATATTTTATACAAAGTATTATTTATTTCACGATATAATAATAATAGTTTAATTTACAATATTTAAATTAAAAACTGTCAATATGAATATATATATATTTTTTAAAATTATTTTATAACCTCAATTTCAAAAGCATTCTTAGCTAAGCACATTAAATTAGTTTTTTTTTAACCTCAATTTCAATCGCAATTTTAACTAAACATCTATTTTTTTAAATCAACCTCAACTAAAAGTACTTTTTATAAAATATTTTTTTTTCAAACCACAACTATTAGCAGCTATCACAATACCAAATATACTTATAAATAGCAAACCAGCCTCATTGAAAGTATTTTTTATAGAACAATTTTTTTTAAACCATAACCACAAAAGTTACCACAATATCAGACACATTAACCAAATACATTAAACTATTTTTTTTTCAATTTATTTCAATAATAGTTTTAATCAAAAATACATAAATACCAAACCAACCTTAATCAAAAGTATTTTTTATAAAAGAATTTTTTTTAAACCACAACCACACAAAAGCTACCACAATACAAAATATATAAAAGGGTGTTTAAAAGTATACTTGTAATTGCTTTTGAAAGTATTTTTTATTTAAAAATATATTAAAATAATATATTTTTTATTTTTTTAAATTATATTTAATATCCATATATCAAAATAATTTATAAATATATAAAAAAATATTAATTTTAAATAAAAAATAAAAAAAATATAGTTTACATCACATTTCTATACACTAATATATTTTTCGTCGCTGCTTCACTAAACAGCAAGGGTGTAGAGTTGTCTTACAAGCAAGCACTTGCTTTTATCTGTTGACTACATCAAAGGCAAGATGAAAGCCGGTAAAAGAAGTGGATAACCATCTCGATAAACTATGCAGTCAAATGAATCATCGTTCCTTGTATATTACCCAATCAATACAGACACCTCTAAGCTAGATTCATTGATTCTTTTTGAAGACTTGGTCAGTGCTGATGACATAAACTATCACGCGTCAGTCCTGATGACATAATTAATTTTTATTTTTATTTTTCAAAAAGAAGAAAAAGTAAATCATCTGCCGGGTCTAAAAGAAACAGCCTGCTTTTTTATTTTATTTTTTAAAAAATAATACATTATTTTTGTATTTTTTTCAAATAAATTTTAGGTTTTCAATACATTATTTTCCGGATAATATACTATTTTTAGAGAGTTTGGTATGATTCTTTTATGATTTTTTTGTTAATTTTATATAGATTATTTTTTTAATAATTATTTTTTTGTAAAATTTTGTACATGGCTAGTCTTGTATTGTTTTATTTTTTAATTTATGTTTGAAAAATTTAATGTAAATGTCAATTTTTATGTGTTTTTTTATTATAAATTTATTTTAATTGAGAAATTTATTAAATATAACAAGATAAATTATTATGATGTGATATATTTTAATCTTCATTTCTTACTTGGTTTTTTTAATTTTATTTTTGTTTATTATTAATAGTTTTTTTCATTGTTTTACATCATGATTATTGGATAGTTTAATTAAATGTGTATATAAGTTTTTTGACCTATATTTTGAAGTTTTTTTAGTGTAAAAAAATATGATGAAGAATTATGTATATTTATTTTTTTAATGTTTTGACGTTTAAGATTTGATGTTTATTTTTATGATTTTTTTTATTTTTTCTTGAATTTTTTATAAAAATTTCTTTATTTTTAGTTTCATCATTCAATCAAAGTTTATAATGTATTTTTTTTCTTTTGCTAATGTTTTCATTCTTTTCAATTTAACTCTCAAATTTAAAATTTATTGTTGCCTTTTAATTTATTTTTTTATTGTAATTTTAAGGTTCATTATTTTTATTATATTTTTTATTTTAAATTTTTTATGCTGTTCTTTTATAATTTTAACCCTCATGATT